TTCCTCTTATTTTCATAATTAATAGATCTATAAGATAAAAGATTATATCTATAGTATTTTTGAAAATTCTCATTTTGATTTGGTAATGAATATACTTCGTAATCGTTTTGTTTTTTGTAATGAATTAATAGGTCTTTTTCATATGAATTCTCTTTGTTTAAATCTTGATTTTGAATTGTACGACATTGATTGATTCTATTTTTTCATTTTGCTGCTATTAATCTAGACCATCTAATCTGAGATAAATGGTATTGATAATGACCTCTTAACCAGTTTTTCCATTGATTTATTCCAGAATTCCGAAGTTTCTTATGTCTTAATTCATAATGAATTATTCCTTGTTTTCCAAAATAATCTTTTATTGAAGTCTTAAGAATTCCGCCGAACTAACTAGGTCGGCAAGACGGCCGTTCTCCGCTTGTAGCTCGGCCATTCTCTTTTCGGCTTGTAGTAGTTCGGCCGCCTTTGCTTCGGCTTCCGCCATCGCTTGCCTTGTGGTTTTGCGGAGTTCTTGGACTTTCCTATAAGTGATATTGTTCTTTTGCAAGGCCTGGCAAAACAAAGATTTCTTCTCAGCCGAAGTAAAAGTTGGAAAAATTTAGACAGAAAAAACAGACAGAGCTACTTACCAAGATCATGGACTTGGAAGCAGACCGAATTGATTTCATTTCGGTGTTCAGTTGCTTCAAGTGGTGCTCCATGTCCTTGGGGAGGCACACACTTTTGGCCAGGTTAAAGGCCAGTTGGTGGTCTTTTTCAGCTACGACCGAGTCAGTGGCTTTGATGTCTCGGTCGTTGAAGGTCAGCGACGGAGCCCACTTTGGAGATTCAGCTCGGTCAGTTCGCTCCGGTTGAGGGGAAGGTTGAGGACTCTGGGGGATGGATTCAACCTCATCGACAAGTTGTTGTTCGGTCGATGTAGGTCGGGCGCGTTTGGAAGGGCGAGATGAAGAAGGCCGCTGAGAAGGGAGGGCCACAACGGCAGGTTGTGCCTCGATGGATGGCTGTACTTCGGCTCTGGTTGTTGAAGTTAAAAGGGCCCTGACTCTGCTCTTCTTTGCCATTTCTTCCTCAGCAGTTAATGGAACAAGTCTTATTTCGGGCAAAGTTGGAACAAGTCTTAATATGTTTAATAATAATATTGAACTATTATTAAACATATTATTTATATTAAAATTTTAGTTAATTAAATATTAATAATCATTTGATCGAATTATACAATTAATTTATTTAGTTTCAAATAGATATAATCCGACTAAGTATTTATTGATGTGCAATTAATATATTTTTTCTATACATAATATATTCAATATACCTTATAAAATAAATAATTCAATTTATCTAGAGTAATCTAAAATATGATGAATGAGCCGAACCAAATAGCAATTATCTCTTTTTTTTATATTAAAAAAATATTTAAATATATTTTTCATTTTCATAGGGCTATCCCAAAATCGAATGGTTATGTATAAACATATATCAAAAAAGTAATTCAAGAAAAAAGCGTTAGACACTATCATGAACAAGAATAATGCTTGGGACTCCCTTTTGGGGGTCACCCCTCACCCCTTTTGCTACGTGGTGGGTGGTGATTGGAGGAGTAGGAAAAAAAAGAAAAAGAAAAAGAAAATGTTACCAATGAGAGAGAGAGGGGGTCAAAGGGGGTGAGGAGAAAAGGGAGATGAATCATTGTTACATGAGCAAACATACAATTAAAATATAAATAGAGAACCACTAATGCCGCGGTCAAAAATATGACTCTCCGCAACTTTTTGAGAAGGGTCATGCTTCGGAGCTCTAATTAGAGCTGCAAAAGGACAGCTCTAATGAGTTGTCAACCAATAAAAAAAAAAATAGTAAGTAAAAGACAAAAAAAAGAGAAGAAAA